AGTGGCATTTTTCTATGGTGCAAACAGCTCTGGTGTAGTTTTGTTTCTGAAGGCAAACATGTTTGCTTTATTTGTAGTGGTCAGATATTGCACTGCCATGTGTAGCTACTGTTTGGGCTTAATGGGCATTCTGCTCACAGTGACTTCCAGGACTAAATGCATAGATGCTGCACTTCAGTTTTCTTGGAGCACTGTATTATTAATGACTGCCTTATCAGCCAGCATAAAACCAGTTTGCTGATCTGAAATGGAAGCATTTGTTAGAGATTATCTACAGTATTTTTGTAGCTGGAGAGAAGGGTGGCATGTTTACGAATGCAAAATATACACTTAAAGCTGAGTGCCAGAAAATGCTCGCTTGCCACTTTGAATGCAGGTTTTTTGTGCACCTGGCATCCCGGCTCAAACCCTAATAACAAAAGGGAGAAAAAAAATTAAAGGCAGTGAAAACAGAGGAGGTGTTCCTCTGCTGTCAGCTAGCAGCAATGGATTCATTTTTTTTGTGATGTGATCCTATTTTTATTTTTGTTTTGCTACACCTGTTCAGTATATTGAATTGAGTGGATTTTTATGGAAAAAATACAGGTTTCTGGCTGTCATTCACATATTGTTTCTCTGACTTGAGGCCACTTGTTTTATTCAGTGGAATGTGGCAATCATAGCTGTACATAATTACCACAGAAAATTGTGCTTCATTTCTTTATTTCTTGAAAAACGATCAGCTTATCTTCTGAGTTACCTGTGGCATCTATCTCAGGTACTAACAGAAGCAGTTGCTGTACTATTATCTGGGCACCCTGTAAATGACTGGTGCTAGGTTACTTATGTTAGAGATTTTAATAAGGGTTTTATGATTTAAAGAAAAGAAACTGATAGACTTCAACAGGTCCTGGTAATTTACTTTGAAATCTTTACCATTTTACATCTTTCTTGATAAATTCTTACGGATTCTTGGAAAGAATAGCTTCTTAATCACTAGTAATGCATTTCAAATAGTCTTATCACTGGAAATAGTTGTTCTTATAATGGCTTTTCTGTTGCCCAGATAACACACCCAAGCTTATTTATAATGCATTCTCCTTATTCCAGTGACAAGAGCAAGTGCTTACACTGCTGATAGATCTGCAAACCCCAAACCAAGCTTTATTCAGATGATACCTCTACATCAGCAGTGTGTAGTGCTGACTGAGTTCCAAGTTTAGGATGCGTACCTTAATGAGTGTGTCAGCTAGGTCACTAATGCATGCCCATGACACTCTTTAAGGTGTCCCTGTATATGGCAGTCTCTCATTTTCCTATTTAGAAATTCTTCCTTCATCTTGGAGCACCTTTAAAGCCCTGCATTTTTTTTCAGGTTGCTACTTCTGATTGTGCTTGGTTCCCTCCGGGCTCCTGGCTCTGTTCTGCACAGTGAAGAAGGAACTTGCATGTTCCTTGCCATGTTTCTCCCCTACCTAAAGAAACCCCAAGGCTGAAAATCCAGTTTAGAGAAATGTTTTCCTGTTAACCTCTGTGGCTCTGTATTTTTCCCAGTGTGTGGATGGACTACAGCTTTTGTCCAGTGAGTGCAAGACTTCCCAAGTTAATGATTTGCACAAACATGTCTTGTGCATGCATGTCTGCCTGTGAAATCTGTCAGTATGTTCCTTGTGTGGAGATCATAAGATCTGATCTGCTGGTAGCCTAGCCTTGGCCATACAGATCCTTGTGCGCTGGAATCAGTTTTTAAAGGTCTCCTCTGCCAGTCTATGCGCTAACTCTGCAGAGCACGCAGTCTGCATTTAAGAATTTGCAGAGGTGCTAATGCTGCATGCATAAAGCTGGTGTGCTGTTTGTCTGTCTGTAGGTAGTTTTAAGGACTGGATGTTTGTTTAAGCTTTTCTCTGAATCCCTGAGCAAAAATTACTGGGATTGCAGTGAAGATTTCTTAGAGCTCCCCACCCGTCTTCCCTTTTCAGCCCTTCTAAAGATTATTTGAACTATTTTTTAATATCTTCATGTTTCCATGCAAGAGTTTCACACCTGTCTTATAAAATCTTATTAACTTTGTTATGCTGCAAGGAGCAGTCTGAATTTTTGTTTGTTTGCTTATGCCTCAGTTAAAGGAAGTTGTATCTTTAAATACTATACAGCAAGCATAGGAGAACTCCACAGAGGGGAAAGCACAGCTGTTCCATCATGGTCCGTCATGGTTTCCATGCATCCCGTAGGTAATATCTTTCTTAAACTCTTCTTGTAAAATTACTTAATTCTGTATGCTTATGAGTCTTTAGACTCAATGTAGTAGATGAGTCTTTGCAATTTTATTTTATTTTTTTTTCATTTTTCCCTTTCACCTGGCCAGCATTTTACAAATCTGTCCTGCTGTGTTCTGGTTTTATGATTCTTTGTAAGTTTAGAATTCAGGCAATTTTCCCTGCAGCCTACATCCAGCTGTAGTTTTCAATTAAAGCATTAACAGACAACACACATTACTTACAAAGTTGCTGGCTCCCAGTAGTTCATTTTTCTTTAGTATTAGAATTTGCAAAGTACTGAGTAGCCTTCAAAGGCATGTGAAATTGGAATTCAGTCTTCTACCTAATATGACCTCCTTCTTCTAAAGGAATGAAAAAAAAAAACCAAAAAAACCACCACTTGCATTCGATGACATTAATGAGAATTTCCCACCCTGCAAACATATTGTAACTGTGAAATAACATTAAAGTTTCTCTGCCTTGTTATGAAGTCTTTAAATGTCAATGCCATTACTGAGACCATCAGGGCAGATTTAATGGTGGCCAAGGTCAACAAATGCTAACTGGTACCTCTCTTTTAGGGCCTCCGGGGACTCCTAATGGAGTCTCAGCCATGAAGTTAATTTGTGATGTGGGTCTTTATTCTTAAATCTGCTCCAATGATTATTTTGTACCATCTCCATGTGCTCAGATTTCTTAACATTCTCTTGTGTCTTCAGTCAATAAAACAAATGGCTAGAATAAGGAAATTCTGTCATTCCATGTTACATTACATCTTTTTGTATTGTTTGCTCCTTTTTACCTCACGGGCTGATGAAGGTCAGGTGTATTCTTCCTGTAGATTACCCTACTCTGTCATCTCTGGTAGGATCTTCCAAAAAAATCTTTTGGATCTGCTACTACCTGCTGTCCTAGAGATCTGGGCCAGTAGCCACGTCAGACCTCTTTTTCTGTAGTTGCCCTAAGTGCTGGGATAGCAAAAGGTGGGAAATGAGAGACAGAATGTAACTGCAAGATTCTCTCCCTTTCCCTTTTCTTCCCGTTGCTGGTCGTCCCTTTATGCATTGCCTAATGTAGATTTTAAAAGTTTTGTAACCTTTATTTGCCTAGAAAATACTGCAGACAAAGATGGCAAGATGCAAATAATAAATAACCAAACTCTGTTTTTTTGGCAGCGTGTTGCATTTCTGCTCACTTGCCCTGCCAACCCCTCTGACTTTAAAATATTTTAACGTCCTGCACTTTTCACCCAGTCCAAGCACCAGACTTTCCTCAGACATTTAGCACTGACATTAATGCAAATGCCTCCAACTTACTGGGCCCTTTGGGGCAAAACATGACATCCTTGGCTTTCAATCAGTTGGTGGAGAGGATATTTTTATATCCACAAAACTAGAAATAATAAAATATCAGTATTCAGGTGCTAATCCATGTTAATTTACATTCTGTGAAGTATACCAGAAACTTGTAATCGGTTGTCTTCAAGAACAGCAGAGTATATTTGGTATTTTGCTTATTTATAGAAAGGAATTTAAATTATGGATATAAACACTGCACAGATTTGGATTGTATCTCTCTTCTAATCATCACTGGACACTTACTTGCATCCCTAAGTTCTGCTGTCATGGAGCTTGCTGACTGACTTTGAGTGTATGTCGACCATACCTATCTGTTATAAGCACTGCTAGAATGCAAATAACACTTTGCTCACTATCTGTGGATTATGAATTTCACCGCTGAAGTACTTTCACTGAAGTGGTTTCATTATCTTTAACAAACCTGGTGTCTGTTAAAAAAAAAAAAAAAGAAAAAAAGAAACAACTTTGTGAAAAATCCCAAAGGCTGGAAGAATTTAAATTCAGTGTATTATTGAAATTAATGCAAAAGAAATCATGGAATCACAGAATGCTTGTGAGTGCCTGCTTCACTATCACTCTGATGTGCATAACAGCTCAAATGCTGAACTGCCTGGATGAACCATAGTGTAAAGATACTCTGAGATATGAGTGGGATTTTGCTGTGTGTTGTATAATATCCATGAGTATAACAAAACCACCAGAATTTGCTTGCACTGAGTTGACAAATGTGAATTACAGTTGCTTTCTTTCTTCGGAGTTTTATCAGAATATAATCACTTGCCCAGCTTAATTGAAAAATCACTTACATTTATAGCTGAATTTAAACATGTTTTGTATTTAAATGACAGCTTTTGATGTACAGACATTTTTTACAGAAAGTAGTTAGTTTTTATCTGTGTTTCTGTAAAGATATTTCAAAAACTCTCATCAAATTTCCAGCGATAAGTAATATCCCATTCAGTGCAAGGTGAAATGTTTTACATCAAATCTCCTGCTGTGTAATGGCCAATCAAAGAGTATTTATAGTGGCTGAATGGATTTTTTGGCTCGGTATTCAAAATTAAACATTTTCAAACATTAACATTTAATGTTTTTTGCCACTCTTCAAGTTGATTTTATGTAACCCTAGGTGCTCACAACTACTTGATACTCTGAAGCGACTCATTTTATGCTGAGCATCCTGCAGGCAGTAGTTTTACGTTTATTACACTTGTGTAGATTGAATGAAATGTATATTTGATAGCAGAACCATGTCTGTCTTTTGATAAACATTTTGTCAAGGTGGGCTGTACGTCCATCAGCAGGATGCAGTGAGTCTATTTATGAGTGAGCATGTTTAAATCGTGACATTAATTAGTAAAGATGCATTTTACTAATTCAGACGAAATTGTTTCTCTTATTTCAGATGTCTGGTAAGAAGTCCTCCTGTCAACAACCACCCTCTGAACTAGATGGTTCGTACTTCGCTGTTGCAGGACCTCGGATTTCGTATAAGAGCAGTAAAGCATCAAAGCCTGGAAGTCCAAGCCGTGTAGCATTGTCTCAGCCTTGCAGGAATAATCATAATTATGGAACTGAAATCATTTACAACCATCAAGATCGTCCAAAAGAAAATCCCTTGGAAAATGGCTTGCACAGAAAGTGCAACAATATGATTTCCTCAGTCAAGCAGAGGAGCCCTCACCATGTAAAACCAGCTCAGGAGATGGACCAAAAAGCAAATGAATTTTCAAGCACTTGCCCTCCACAAATGACCTGTGGCTGTGCCTGCAAGCATGTAGGGAGCTCAGGTGGCGTTCAGAAGAGGCACCATGTCAGCCAGGTACCCAGAAGAGTCTCTGGACCTGCTCACAAAACCTGTGATTATTCCAGGCTCTCTCGAGTTTCTGGGCTGAATGACAGCGGGGGTTCAGGGTCTAAAGAAGCAGAACAAGCTAAACGGTTGTCTGAAGAAAGAAGGCAGCAGCTGCTTCTGCAGAAGATGGAGCTGGAAATTGAAAAGGAGCGTCTCCAAAATCTGTTGGCTAAACAAGAAGCAAAACTGCTCCTAAAACAACAACAACTACACCAGTCCCGAATGGATTATAACAGGTGATTTCAAGATTCATATTTAAAAAAAATAAATTCTAGAGTTTCTAATGAACATGTGAGCAATAGTTATAAAGGAAAAAGGGAATTTATAAAATAAGATAAGGCAGTTCTTGTGGCACAATTTCTCTGTAACGGTGATTTAGAGGAGAGGAGACTTTTGAGTATATTAGCATATACTGTTGGGAAACAGCATGACAGCTGTGGAAAGCAGCAGAGGAAAACAGTATGTGGTAGAAAGAAAAGCAGTTCTAAGACACTGGGTAGGAAAAGAAGAGTAGTAGAAGAAATTGTGAGCTTGATCTTAGTGCAGGCAGTTGAAGGAACATAGACATTTGGCAAGGGAGCAGTGTGTGTAGATGACATAGGCAAGGCATTTCTCTCCTTTACTTGGAGAGGTCAGTTTTGAAATACTGCACTTTCTTAGGTGGTGACTGGAAGAAATATCTTTTACAGAAAATATGAAGACCATTTTATTTATTTAATATATACACGTGGCAAAGGAAGGGAGTCCTGTGATACAGGGACATTTTCCTTTCAGTGATATTTCTGTAAGCAAGGATGCCAAGACGGAGGCAACAGAGGCACAAGACCTGCTTAAAAAAGAAGGAAGAAGCAATAACCAGAGAAATATGGAATGTGGCTTCAAAAGCCCTTGTGATTGTTAGAGAAGGTGAGAGAACACCTTCCTGACAATTTAAATGGGGACTTTGGCAATACAGATAAACTTATTTATTGGTATCATTAAACTAAGAAGGGGATTGGGTTAAAGCCACAGACCGAAAAGTTAGATTAGCTGGTGTATCTCAACTGTGAGCTAGCATTTCAGCATTAGGAGGCTAAAGCAATGGGAGAAATCTGTCAGTCTTTAAGAAAAGACTGTAGGAAGGTTTCACAAGAAGGCTTATCTCAATATTACTTTAGTGTGGTAAATACTGACAGCATCCCACAAGTGTCTGTAATACTTGACCCACTTCCTGCCTGCACGCATTATAACCACCACAGAAGAACATATCACTTTCTTTTCTCAGTAACAGCCCTCTGGTTACTTTCCAAACCCTAAAAGAGAGTACCATAACTCAGATGATCGTTTGTTTGACTTCTTGGGCCCTGTCTTACACTGAAAAGAGTATGTTAAGAGGCCTTAAAATGTCTGTTTTATCAAAGTCAATCATAATTGTGTGAGTTGAAAATGGCTGAGGCTACAAAGAATTATAACTTAAGGCAAAAAAGAAGCAGGAACAGATGGATTCTTAATCATCAAATACCTTAATTCTATGCATGCAGACCTCTAAAGAAAAACAAGTAGAATATGAAGGATATACAGACTAAGTCTTTTGGAGTTTTGTTCCTAATAGATAATTTTCAGATTTATTTGAGGCATCATCTGCTCAGGAAAATAACTAGACCTTAAATATCTCTATAATGTTGTGCTTGTTAATACCATTGTGCCTATTTTAGCTTCTTTTTTTTTTTTTTCTTCTGAAAAAAAAAGGTGGTTTACAGAGTTGTAGTTACTTAAGGAAAATATAGAAGGAAAAAATGCTGTGAAAAAAGTCATATGATCAGTCTGAGCACTAAATCTGTTTTTGTAATCTGTTCAGAGGTGAAGATGAATGCACAATTGCCATTTTGACCATATGAAGTGCAACTAGACTCAGTGTGCTTGCTTTTAAAAAATACTCAGTCTCTTTAGAATGAAATGTTTGATATTTACAGACAAATCTCATAAGCATTACAGTTCTATTTCAGTTCTGGCTGTATAATTCTTTTGCACTTTATAACAGGATAATTTTATGTACTACACAAACAGTAGAAATTTATTTAGCTAAGCTTGAATACCCTTGCTTCTTTGGCAGCAGACTCTAACCTAGTGCATCTCCTTACATCAAAAATACAATGAAAATCCATTTCCAAGTTGTGTTTATTTTTTCTGTCCTTCTGCATGGATGGAATGCTGGTTAAGGTCCATTTTGAGCTGCTGAAAGTATTGTCATTCATTGACAGATGAAAGGTCTGACCATTTGTAATAATTGGCTATTAAATCTTATTCTCTTATGAAAAGTATGAATCGATCTTTTTTTTTTTGACAACAGTGCATCATAACTGCATCTTAATTTCCCACATTTTCTCTGGATGTGAAGTAGTTGCTCAGCTATCAAAAATGGTGGGTTGACAGGGAAAGTGGCAGATCAGTAACTTCTACTCTGATGTTGTATGAGGGGAGATTCAAGCTGGATACTGGGAAAAATTTACTCTGAAAAAGTGGTCAGGCTCTGGAATGGGCTGCCCAGGGATGTGGTGGAGTCACTGTCCCTGGGGATGTCCAAGACTGTTTTTATGTTGTATGAAGGGACGTGATTTAGTGGAGAAATATTGGTGGTAGATGAGCTGGATGATCTTGGCAGTCCTTTCCAAATTTGGTGGTTCTGTGATTCTATGATTCTATCGAAGTCAATCACCCCAGAATATATAAAACTTTTCATGAGTGGCAAAATATTCTTTCTTGGTTATGTGAAAAAATCTGGCTAAATCCTGGAAACAACAATTTTATGTAAGTGGAAAAAATGCCTCTATTACTGACTTTTTTCAGTCTTCACTGGAAAGAAAGAGAAGGGTGGGCTAATGTATTAAAAATTGAGGATTATCTCTGTACGCATAGTTTCAGAAGACACAACCACCTCAAACATTCTACATTTTGAGAAACTTACATGCCTCTGAGCTTGGGTGTTAATGAAGCAGTATTCTTAGCCAACAAGGAATGTTGTTATGGGACACTGTGACCATTTTCTCAAGGAGGCAGATAGTTTGAAAGCAGTAAATGAAATTTTTCTAACCTTTTTCCCAGTGGAAATCTACAGAAGGAGAGGTACTGTACATCAGTCAGCCTTACAAAACAAAAGGTACATTTGAAAGCATGAAAATAGTTTTGAAAGCTTCTCCATTAAACATGATTAAGTGCTTTGCTTGTAGACACAAAACTGACCCTATTTATGGCAAATTTCTGTTCTGGTGATAGGATGAGCTGCATAAACAGCTACTTCTGCTTTTTCAGGTTTAGAGGCCGTGTGTCAGGTTCAGAAGATGTGCTCATTGATGAAACACCTGGAGAACTTGCTCTGATGATGAACGGCAACAGCATGGGGCTACGGTAATTTTTTTTCTTGACTTCTAAGTACTTCACAGTGTCAGTGCATCTTGACATTGTAATATTGGCTGCCAAGTGTATCTGTTTGTGTGTTTGTTTCAGATTAAGAACTTTTTTTCCCCAGGAAAAAATAAAAATTCCTTGGCCATTGAATTTTATGGGGTAAATGTTGAATAATTATTACCCAGAGTTTTGGGGTTGATCTCTCTAGCAGTCTCAGATTGTGTACATCCCACCTTAAGGACAATAACCTGGCCCACAACAAATAGAAGTTTTCATAAGATCTGAGATTTCTTTCTCTGCTCTAGGTTTTACTTCTTATTTTTCAATTCATATTTGAACATCTGTTTAGCTTTGATTTGGACCTGTTGTAGAAAGTACATCAACCCTTACCTCTGAGATAGAAACGATATGTTACCGTTGGTGATAGTTGCTTGTTTTTAAAACAACAGTGTGTTGCACCTCTGCATAATCAGTGCTAACTACAGCTAAAATAACTTTAAGTAAAGCTAATATTTAGCCCTTTATCTCCATTCTGCAGACTATTTAAAACATTAATGAACGTATGATTGAATTTTTTTCGTGTTCTGTCCAGCTGTATTTCCTGCTTCCATTGGGAGAAGGGTCAGGCCTATTAGAAAAACAACAAATTAGAACTGTGGACTTGACAAGTGTTTTTCTCTTGCTCTCAAAAATAAACAGCATTGTGTTCTGTATTTGAACTATATCTGTTCTTTTGACCCAAGCTTCCTTTTCAGTGCACGAGGGGAGCAACTGGCCTTTGAGAGGCCCCCTCTTTAATGACAAAAGAACTCTTTAAAATAATAAGCTCTTCTCTCTACTTCTGGTATGACTGTAAGAGAAGAAATGTTAATTTATTTACAGTCTAAGGATTCAGTACTTCATTTTTGTATTTTTTAACCTTAGTTGATAATGTTTTTTTATTGACATCCCTCTTCACTGAAAAGGGAAGTCAGACAATAGGTAACGCTTCTTTCCCTAGAAGAACAGAAGTTGCTAATTTCTTTGGAATGCTTCATTGCTAAAGCAGATGTTTTGTTGATAGAGTTACTGACATATCCCTCATTGTATTTTGACGCTTTTTGTTTTGTTTCCATACAGACTGAAGTGTGATCACTCTTAAGAAAAGAGGTATAGTCATTATATTAATATGCAGTAGCATTAAACCACTGAAGGAAAGATGTAACCTAAAACATCTGCAAGGCTTCTTGGCAACAGATTACCAACAAATGCAAAAATCTACATAGCCTAGCACATAAAATGAGAAAAACCTGTAATGTTTACAGAATGAGAGTTTCAGATTTCAGAAAGCTCCCTCTCTTCAGTCCCCTGGTTTAATTTACTGTAATTTTTCAAGGTTAATGTGTTCGTGCAGTCTTTGGTTGGCATGCCAGCTGGTTCCAAAGTTTGGCAGTGTAACACTTGGAAGTTTTTCTTCCTATATACCATCCTTGGGTTTGCAAAGGTTACCAGATGAACACTCTCTAAATAATTTAATCTAATGTTAGGCTGAAAGAGGCTGACAAAGACAAGTTCATTCGTCTTTTTTATGCATTTGAATATGTAAGTGCTGTTTTCTTCAGCGTAGAGAGTGAGTGTGCAAGCGTGTAACTAGGGCTAAGAGAAGAGGCAGAGATGGTAAGAATGTACTCTTTGTTTCTCAACAGTCTCTTCTTACTTTTCCTTTTTTTAATTGATATGCCAAATGGTTTGTTTTTATAGCAGATACTATCAGAACTATAATGGAATAGAAACCCTCTCTGACTTCCAGCTCATACACAAAGCTCCTCTAGCAAACCTCACAGCATGAAACTTGATTTCAGCCTTAAAATAAGCAAAACTTAGTTTAAAAATCTCCTGATACTTGAAAGGAAGTGGAGAAAGTTCCTTAAAATACTAAAGTTGCTGAAGTGAGATATTGGAGTTTAGATGTAAAAGAAATAATATAATCAAGAACTGAAAAACATAGTTTTTTTTTATAATTAACAGCTCATTTTGAGGTAATTATCTACAATTACGAAAATTTAATTGCAATTTATTCTCTGCTATCTGTGGGAAGGGTTGTAAGCAAGGGAATGTGCATCACTGCCAGGCATAAATGCTATAGGATGGGGACAAATACTAGAGGAGCCCTTAATGAAAAACAAAAAGCAAATAGGAGCATGCAGCTGTGCCAGGCTATTGAAAGGTAATTGTAGTCAGAAATGAGATATGTACTTTAAAAGGCATCTTGTCATCTCCTGTAGGGATTAATTTTTTCCTTGCTTGAAAAAAGCACAAAAGATTTCAGGAGCAAGTACAGTGCTGAGTTTGATATCTGTTGCAGATTTTGGTTACGGTGCATCTGTGAAAAGGAAAACTTCCACCTCAAGGAGTACTAGAAACTATAGCCAAATTCCCATTTTCTCTGCCAGTTGTCCCACTGTGTTTTCTTCATTAACTGCCAAAGCAAGTGTTGTCCTTCTCCCTCCTTTTGGACTGTCCCAGTATGAATTTGCAGTGCTGCGTTTTTTCTCTGCTGTTGGGAAGAATTGTGTCTGTCCCTTTGCCTTCCCTACAGCTGGGCCTGTGCCTGGGACCTGAAGAGTCTTCAGATGCAGAGAGGCGCAGCAATCAGAGCAGGCTGTGTTGAGAATGGTTTTCAGTGGAGCTCTCCTAAGTGAGTCCACAGCTAATTTTCAGCTGTGGAGATAGAAACGTTTACAATTAATGGCGAGTTGTCTGATTCTCTGTAATTTCTTTTTGCCCCGGTGTGCAAGATGCTTTAAAAAATTCGAAGTAAAAACATAACCTGATGCATTTGTTTAGCGTAAAACAGCTTTTTATAAAGCACTTTCCGTCTCCCAGGCGCAGATGCTTGGTACATGCTCAAGTACCCACTCCACACGTATTCAGTATGATCAATACCCCCAGCACCTGCTTTTGTGTGTGCTCCTGATGCCTGCATCTGGGAGAGGAATTTTAAAACAAGCTGCTCTTCTCTCTTTTATTTATTCTCAACTTTGGATCAGAGCACTGTGCAAATAAGGCCTATTCAACAGCACAAACTCGAGAAGATACGGTTTGCTGCTTTGCAAGTACCCCTCACCAGACTTGTGCTGTGTGCCTAAATCTCCATTAACAATGCTCCCTGCTTATCCAATTCTTAGGCTTCCTTATGGCTCTGCTGGTGCAGCTCTGACTGCCTTCTCTCTAACGTTCCTCGGATTTCACACAATGCTGCCTCTGCACCTCAACGCTGACCTGTGCAAAGCGTTTTAAATAGGAATTGTTGGGTGCAGTAGCTATCGGAGGAGTTTATGGTTATCTGCAGGCACTCTTTCAATGTATATTACCTGGTTAGAGGATTTCTTTCCCCGAGTATTAAAGGTTTGCAGGTGTAATTTGCCACCTTTAATTTCATTGAAGTCTTTTATGTTTGCGTGCTTCGTTCTTTATCACCTGTGTGGATTTTCTCCAGCTTATATTTTTAGTTAGTTGAAAATATCAAACATGGAATTCAGTAGTGCTTCCCCTCTATTTGAATGCTCATTGTTATGGTGATAGTTCTGGGAAGGAACGCTGTCAAGGGTCTGCTAGAAGATTTTTATGTTTATGGTGTAACTGTTTTTAACTATTTTTATTATCTTGAGAGTGAAGGTGACAATTATCTTTTTGCTCCTTGTTTAGTGCTTTTTTTTTTTTTTTTTTTTTTTTTTTTTTTTTTTTTTTTTCAGCTTGTTAGACATACAGGCATCTTTACAAGCATCCTTCTGTGGTGGTGGTGTAGAAGCATACTTCTGTGTTTTTGTCCAAACAGTCAATGCAATTAAAGATAAATACAGGGGAACGCAGACTTGCAGCTCCCCCTGCTGTTCCAGGCACATGCTGGTTTTTTTTGCACTACTCCTCCCCCAGCACGTTTAAGAATAAAATAAAAATTAAACTGAGCCACGGGCTTTGCTTTGCCACCTCTGACCTGATTTGTGCTGTCCCCACTGCTCCAGTTGCTGAAGGGAACTGGTGCTTACAGTGGCAAAACGAGTGTAAAATTTGTTTCATATTTGGAGTTTCTTGCCAGTTCTTCATGACAGTGTGCATCACCTCCTGGGAACTCTGGAGGAGAAACTGTCCTCGGTGCCTGAAATGGTTCATAGAATCACAGAATCACAGAATCTCCAAGGTTGGAAAAGACCTAAAAGATCATCCAGTCCAACCGTTCACCTACTCCCAATAGCTCCCACTAAACCATGTCCCTCAACACAACATCCAGCCTTTCCTTGAACATCCCCAGGGTCGGTGACTCCACCACCTCCTGGGGTTGTTGGCCAAGAGCTTCCTTCAGCTCATCTCTGATCATCTTTGGTCTCTTGGGGTGCAACAAAGTAGTATTCAGCCAACATTTATGAATGTGTTGAACACAATTTGTTGGATTTTTTTTTTTTTTTTTAATCTCTTTACTGCTTCAACAGAATGGTGCATTAAATTGGACTGAAATCAGCTGTGCTTGCAATTGGCCAGTCAAGTCTCCGTGTCTGGAAACCGCTTCCTAACTTGTTAGCACTCTTTTTAATACCTTAGTTACTTTCTTGTTTCAGATTCTTTTATATTGAAGTTTGTATCAGTTTTAAGTGGGTTATTCACAGACTAAACACTTGCTTGGCCAGTAGAGAAGGTGCATACCAATCTGCCAGTAGTGTAAATGCTGAATTATTGTGGATATGAATTCCCCCTTCTCTGGTGGAATTGCCTGGTTATATATAGGATGAGCATCTCTCCAACTGATGCCTGCTGGAGTCAATTGTGCCATAACAGAAGTATGTATTCAGAGCTGGATATACATTTTTGCTTCTTCAGTGCTTTATATGGGTTCCGAAGATAGTAGTTTTATTGTTCAGGGTGAAGGCTTTTGTTCTGATGCAATGATTAATAGCTTATTGATAAATGAAGGGAGCTTTTATATATATATCTGTGTGCATGACTATATTTGTATATACTTCTAA